AAAAAAAAAAAACAAAAAAAAACCCTACAAAATTTCCCCAACTTTTTTCCCCGCCGCTGCCCATTCACACACTTCTATATTTCCTCTCATTTCTTCTCTTTTCCACCTCCTTCCGCCCCCGCAATTCCTCCCAAATTACTTTTTTCTCGGGTTTTCATTTTTTATCATCTTCAATTTTTGGGTTTCCCCTTTTCTGTCTCGAAACACCATGAGCAAGCCCGATATTAAAGACAACTTTGCCATGTCCGACCTGGACTCATCTCCCTCTGCCTCCGCCGGTAATTTCACCCGTTTCACGATTTCTAACTGTTGGGTGTTTATGTATTTGTTTGTATGTATATGGGTTCTGATTGATTGCTTGGTATTGACTTTTTGTGCAGCTTTGAGTGCTAAGGATCGCGCTGGTAAATGCCCTAAAATAAAAAAAAATAAAAAAAGTAACAAATACCATAATTTAAGGGCAGCATTTAATGCTGCCCAATATGTTTGGAAAAAAAACTACTAAAAATGGTAAATAATTAATTCTAACAGAAATTTGACTAAGTTTGACATACTATTTTTGATAAATATTAATTCTTATTATATATATATAGATTTCACTAAAAAAATGTTATTGAACTTCTTAATTTAACCCAAGTTACAATTAATTTGTCTCCAGATTAATCTACTCGATTTATCTCACCATATTTAAGATCTAACGTTAATATAATTAATCAACTTCTTATATCCGAAATTAGTATTACTCAACCTTTTTCATTATGCCGGAACTTAATCCGCATGAAGGGTTTAACATAACGATCGTCCTGAGCTCATTTTCGAGGACGTCATCAACCCGTTGCACCACGACATAGTGACTATAAACAATCTCAGCAGAACATAATGCATTTAACATTTATTATCCAATCACCCAGTTTATTAATTCAATCTCACGTTTTGGTTAGATAAGAGGAATAAATATTAAATGCATGCGACCATTCATTATCTTATAGCTTAAGAGTACGCAGTAATAATTGATGTCTAGATTATTTACTTGGTCACAATAAAATAATCTTATCCTCCGTAGTCCGTTCAATACATCCGAGATGTACTAGTGTAATTCATTAGCCACGATAAACTAATTCAAAATTACATTACTACCTTTCATGATACTTTGTTAAATTTTATCTAGGTTGTGAACCATACTTATATTTTACAAGGAGCCGATAATATGTTTGACATATCGAACCATATTATCTCAACGTAAAATAACAGAACAAACATTTTTGATTAAATATGATATTCTTATTAAAAAATTCTGGAAACACGTTTGTAATCAAATGCGAACTTTTAGCATACAAACCAATATAAGCGTCTCCTCAACCATGTAACAGTATCCAAGTATGATTGTACAAAGAGGGTGATGGAGGTTATGCCCAGTATTTGGTATCAGTGAGTCATCATTGCCTTGAACTGTCGCCATCATTCATTGATGTATTAAAATTATTATTCTAAATTTATATAAATGCATATGTTGATTTCTTAGGATTCTGCAGGAGTCATGAAAATTATGTGGAAATTGACTGCTCTCATTTGTATGTTTTTGTCGTGTTTGATGAAAAATCATCATCATATGGCCATCGAATGTGAAAACACCATACGTACAGCTGGTATAATTACTATTTTGTTTTACTCATGTTCTTATTCTGTTGGGCAGATGGTGGGACAAGTGATTTGGTGCTTGGCTCACACAGTTTGGATTGGGAACTCAGTGGCCGTAGCAGCTTCTTTGGGTTTGATCGGACACCATCTTTTTGGCGTATGGAATGGAGACAGAAGGTTAAGCATTAGATATGGCGAGGCTTTTGAAGTTGTAAAGAAGAGAACAAGTGTGGTCCCATTTGCTGCTATTCTTGATGGCCGCCAGAAGCTTCCAGAGAGTTACTATAAAGAGTTTTTGCGTTTGCCATATCTATCAATTACGGTATTGACGCTAGGCACATACTTTGCGCACCCACTTATGCAGGCAGCCAGTTCTCGGCTTCATTGGTAGTTACTTTCTATTTATGTCCAGCTTGATTAAAGTTTTTGTGCTCAAAACCACAGATGGATGTATAATTAAGAATAATGCTACTATTCACTTAACTACCTTAATCAAAGCTGGTTTACTTCAATCCTAATGTCTTCACGAGTCATAACAGCGGTCAATGCTTGTCAAAAGTAACGTAGCCCAAGCATGTCCCCAGAATAAGCACCTCATTAAAATTCAAAGCCCAAAACAGAAATTACCCCCTACATTTCACAGTGAAAATTCTTAACTGCCACGTAATTAAAAAACTATTCCAAAAAAATGCTGCCTGATTAGAATTCCATAAATGCAAATATTTGTAACTGTTCAATGATTTTAAAAATATAACGGCAGTTAATTAAAACAGGGGAGAGAAAAAAGTAACTGTTCAATTATTTTGAAAAAAGTAACTGCTATACAATTTTTATGTAAACGAATAAAAACAGAAAAAAAAAATACAGAAGTTGGAGAAGACACGTCTAATCAGGGAGCCAAAAAAAAAACCATAAAGAATAGAAGAAAAAACTTGAACGGAAAACAAATTCATTGTTGAGGTACGTTATTACAACATGTAATCAAAAGTTTGATGTTCGAATTTGGTCCTTGAGTATTATAGAAGAGTTATTGATTTTATCTGTTTTTTTTAAAGAAAAAACGCTGATATTTTTTTTATTTTTTTGCAGAAAGAATGAGCAAAGATATTATTTTCGTTTATTGCAATGGAGATTGGACCGATGATGTTACTTATGAAGGATATCACGTATGTGGTGTTTTCCATAAAGAGAATGAAGATTTGGAGGATTTAAAGGAAGCAATAAAAAAGATGATGGAAATCAATTCATCTGAAAGGCTATTGAAGTTGCAATATCAGATAAAAGAAGGGGTGAAGCCAATAACGCTTAGCAACGAGATGAGCTTGGAGATTTACAAAGAATTGAGGAAAAAGAAGCAGATTTCTCGAAATTCCCTCTGTGTGCAACTTTGGAAGCCAAGCAAACACTTGCTTTGACAGTAACCAATTTTTCAGAAAATATGGAAACAGATGCAATTGAGATACAGCCTCTCCAGATGATAGATTTTGATGATTTCAAAAGGCAAGGTAATCAAAATCAAAACATATTTGAGTATGGCTGCAAATATTCAGAAGATCTCGTTGAAATTACAAGTGAAAGAATGGATTTTGCAGAAAAGAAACATGAGATTTATGGAGCGAAACTGTCGGGCAATCTTGATGGAAAGCTTGAAGTTGGTCAGATTTATTCAAACAAGGATGACCTGAAAATTCTTTTAAGCTTATATGCAATCAAACATCATTTTCAATTCATGGTTGTGAAGTCATGTCAGAGGCAATATGACATAAGATGCATTGACAATGATTGCCCATGGAGATTGAAAGCTTCCAGAATCAGCACAAGTCCCGTTTTCAAAATTCGGAAAGTGACAACCAAACATAGATGCAGCTTTGGGAATCGGATGAATGAGAAGAGGCAAGCAACAACAAATATAGTTGGAACATTCATTCAGGACAAGTTTGATAGTTTGAAAACAAATTACACTCCAGCAGATGTTATACGAGACATGAGGAATATGTGTGGAGTTAATTTGTCGTACAAAAAAGCTTGGCGTTCCAAACAAAAAGCACTAGAAAAGGTTTATGGTCATCCATACCAATCCTATATAGTGCTGCCTCTATATCTCGAAAAACTGGTAGAAGCTAATCCTGGATCATTTGTGAAGCTAAAGACTGATAAGTCAAATAGGTTTGAGTATGTCTTCATATCAATGGAAGCATCTAGAAAAGGTTGGAATCATTGTCGTCCAATAATAATAGTGGACGGTACATTCCTGAAAGCAGCTTATGGAGGGACACTCATAACAGCAAGCACTCAAGATGCAGCTGGCCACATACTACCTCTTGCATATGGAGTTGTCGATTCTGAAAACAATAATGCATATCAATGGTTCTTCTCAAACTTGAAGACGGCACTATCGGAGAGAAATAATTTATGCATTGTTTCAGATCGACATGCTAGCATAATATATGCTGTCAAACAGGTAATATATGAATTTATGTGTATACTCTGTTAACAAAAGAATTAGATTAGATAAAGTATTAAAAAATTTTACAAAACAACTTTGAGAAATCGATAAAAAAACTTATTATATACTTTAGAAATTTGAATATATATTTTTAATATGAAATTACATTATATTATGTTAATATTATTGATGTGATGAATTGCAGATATTTCCAGAGGCTTCTCATTGTCACTGTGTATATCATTTGTCTAAGAATATCATAACAAACTTCAAGGAAAATCTTGAAGTAGTGAAAGGAGCATTCTTTTCAGCAGCGTATGCTTACACAAATGATGAGTTTAGCCATCACATGGAGACAATGAAGAAAGCGAACAAAAAGGCAGTGGAATATTTGACAGAATTAGGTGTAGAAAAATGGTCTCGTTTACATTGCAAGTCAAATAGATTTTTTGTTATGACTTCAAATGCAGCAGAGACAATAAATTCTACGATGAAGGCTGCACGGGAGCTTCCTATCACTCAATTATTGGAGAATATTCGTGGAATGCAACAAGCTTGGATCATGAAAAACAGGACAGAGGTGCAAAACACGTTTACTATCCTTGCAAAAATGGGACAAAAGAAGCTAGAAAGGAATTATGAATCTTCTACAAAACTCACTCTAAGTAAGCTTTTTATAATTTCATAATTATTTTTTTTTATTTTATTTTGGGATAAAAAAACACTATCTAAAAATAATAAACAGGTGCAACAAGCAAGTGAGGATGTATACAAAGTGAAGAGTGGTCCTCAAATATTCATTGTGAATATGAAGGAACGTACTTGTACTTGTAACAAGTTTCAAATGGAAGAACTGCCTTGTGAACATACAATAAGTGTCGTGAAAGGAAAACATGAGGAACCGGAAGTTTATTGTTCTCATTTTTATTTAAATAGCACCTTATTAGCTACATATGATACGGCTGTACTCCCTGTTGATTTGGATCTTATTAATGCTGGTGCAAGCGTAGAAAATGAGACCAAAGTAGTTCCACCGGAAGAAATTTCGGTGAGAGGAAGGAAAAAAAGGAAACGATTCCTATCCGGTTGGGAGCACGGGATCAAAAAATAATGCCGATATCAAGATGATGTTTGCAGGTGTAGTTGTTTTTTCGTAAGAGAATGAGGATGAAGAACATGTCTTATTTATTAATGTACTTTCAATTGATAAAAAATTAACAAACAATATATTGGTGTATTTATAATTCTATAACTTTGTATTTTAATTTATATATGAAAATTGATAAAAAAAAAAAATACGATTTGTAAAGATGAATTATACATAGTTTAGTTTGAAAGAAATAAGTCAATAGCAGGGAATATATTTCAATGATAATATGATAAGTTCAAAAAAATGAAGTACAGATATCTACTAACATAAATAATGTTTGTGGCCAATCTTTAATGTACACAAGTGCATGGAACACAAGATTGAGTGGATTTTTATTAAAAAATCCTAAAATAATATTTGTACAATGAAGAAATAAATTTGTAATGAATGTGAAGCTCCATAAAGTATGTTGATGACTCTAATTAAAGGAATTGTGAAACTTTTAATATTTTAATGAACATTGAATGATGTGGTTTTATACCTGCATATTGTAAAAGCAATGACTTAAAATATACGAAAAATTATTGTTGAAGTAAATTAAAGTAAACATGAACGAGTTTAAGCATGATTTCAAATATAGGTTGAGAATGTAATTTAAATAACAGTAAAACAACAAATTAATATAGAACAATTAACATAAAAACAACTAAGAAAATGGAAATTTGAATAAAAAAAAAATCAATCAACATTCATATAAAACTACCATCACAGAAAAACAAAAGCAACATTTATATGAATGTTTCCTACAATGCACCTAACAGCTATGCATCTAACAAACAGAGAGTTTTGAAAATCACAAATTTAGCCAAACATCTTGTATCGACATCCTACAATGACGAGGCATATTTCCAGAGGACTGGACTTCACTTTGATAACCTTTGGACAATTTTTTGCAACCATGCTCATATAGCAAATAGGAGTATCTATTTCCTAAATACTCCGCCTGTAAATCAATTGGAATGTCCATTCCTTTCATGAAATACTCCGCAAATGCAGCACAAAAATTCCACAATCACTACAAAGAAACAAATTTTAAAATTGTTTTCTACTGACAAACAAGTCAGAAACCAAAAACAAAAGTTCATTTAAAAAAACACAAATTTAAACAAAAAAAAAAAACATTTACTTACCCTTTTTCCTGTGTCGGCAAATCAATAACGAAAATAATTTCAATCGGGTCCGAAAACTTTATCTCAGCATGCGCTCCATCACCAATGAATAAATACTTTTTTTCATTAATCCCAATCCATCAAAGAAACCTAGGTAGCAGCACAATATAGTACTCCAAAGCCTATGAGAAAGAAACTTATCATATGAATTCTTCATTCTTTGATCAAACAAAATATCAGTCGTGGTAACACACTCAACAATACTCGGCAGGTGATGAAATGGCATATTTATTAGATAATAAAAAATCTCATCAATATGCTGAAAAAAAAAATATTAAAGCAAACATAAACATGAAATGTACAATAAAAACAACTGACAATTTACTTAAATAAAACTTGGTGATAAAAAAAAAATGAAATGGTAACATACAGTAGAATCAAGAATGGGCACAAGAAATTACCCAGAATCGGATTTCTTAGATTAAATAAATAAACCCGTTTGCAACCAAGTTTCAAAACCCTTATAAACAGGATTATATAGATCCCAGAAAGGTACATAAAAAAAACACAATCCAGACTTATTAGATAATATAAATAATATTATAAAACATAAGGTTGTCGAAACGAAAAAATACCTTCAGATGAGCATCCGAGATGTGTTTGTCAAAAATGCGAGACTGATTTTTTATATAAATTTTGGAGATCTTTGAATCTTTTTTTCTAAGAACACCACGAAAAAGATGTTTTCGGTCTTCATTCTTCGATTTCTAATGGAAATTAGGAACCCTCTATTGGGGGACAATTTCATCTTCGGACATACAATACTCAGATCTCATATAATCTTCACTACACTCTGAATTAAATACATCTTCTGAAGATTGATCAAAGAATTTTTTTTCTTTATCTTGAATTTTTTTCTTTTCCATATTAAAAAATCGAAGAAGACGAGAAAGAACCAAAAAACTGCATAAGAAACTGAACCAACACATCTATCGAGTTTCTTGAAAAACTGTCAGAAAAAAAAAAATTAATTAAAAAAGCAGAAGCGGGAAAACAATTATTGGAGCCAAGTTAGTCTAGAAAAGAGAGTATTAGTGGAAATATGTTTTGCATTATTGACTAAATAATATTCAAGTGCATTGATGTAAACAGTTTGTAGCAAGAGACAAGGGGTGTCAATTATTCACATTTCACTAACGGTTTTGGCTAATATTGGCTAATAAATATCAACCTGATGGTACTTCATGTAATGAAAAAAACTAGTATTTTTGATCTTGTATATTTGCATAGATATAAAACACGTTTTTGTTTGTATTTATTAATTAAACATGTACTTCTATCATATAAAAATTATTACTTTTCCTTAAGTTATTTTTATCATTCAAAATTATTTGAGATTTAAATTTTATTTTAACCATGCAACGTTTACATTAGTAACATGAATAAAATAATTTATATATTTGTAGCATATATTAAGAAAATTAGCATAAATAAAAAAAATTATTGGTGTTTTTGATTTTTAGAAAGAAAAAAAAATGTGTCAATCATATTTTTCTTCTAACAATGCAACCAAATATAGCGGTTACAACTCTGAATGTGTCAATCAACTTTAAGTTCCAACATTAACCATTAGACATTTGAATATTTTGCTACCAAATTTAGAATTAATTACTCACTAATCAACATTTGAATAATTTGCTACCAAATTAATTTGGTAACTGATCCAAAAAATAAACAATAAAATATATATATTAAGGTGTAACGGTTTTAGCAGATTAGTGATTAATCAATTAAAAAAATGTAACTCCTTTTGGAGGGAAATGAAAATAGGTTTTATTAAATGTATCAGCTAGTAATTATACATAGGGTCGCGCTCACATGAGAATGGTGCTTAGTGAAAGAAATAATAATAAATTTCAGTCATGGGATCGGATAATCTAACAGCTACAAAAAATATCAATTATCTCACTCATTAAGGGTAAATTAGTAATTATACTCTCCCAAACACCATCATCACTNGCAGATCCGGCCGAGCACTCCGACGCCGCCACGATTCCACAGGTGCTCCGGCGGCGTCTAAAACCAAAGGCACTGCTGGAAGACGTAAGTCCCGATTCCACAGGTTCTCCAGATTCGAAAGAATTTGTCCAAAAAAAAAAACCAAAATTGACTAACTCCATCACCGGCGAGCTCGTGGCAGAGCCGGGAACGGCCGTCCGTTCAACGACGGCCGTGGCAACCTGAGTCGGCAGTGACGGGAGTTTGATGTTGGGAATTAGAGATTTTGGGTCTTCATTTGGAAATATGATGAGTTCTAGAGATTTATGTGCAATTTTTACAATTTTGATTTTATTCTAATTTAGTCCATGGTCAAATCTATAATTTATAAAAAGTATATAAAAATATTATTTTCTATATATTATCTATACTTTTATAATTAAATTATAAATAAATGTATTATATAAGAATAATATAAAATAATAAATAAAAAATGTTGAAAAATATTTTTTTTTTTAATAATACAAGTAAGAAATTATTTATCTACCAAATCTAATCTTAAAAAAAAACATAATTTATAAGTCATCGCATAGAGTAGTGCAATTTATATATCAACACACTGCACTTTATAAAACAAAACGTTTCACTTTATAAAACAATACATTGCACACTATCAACATATTATTTTTTATATATTGTTTTATACAAATATATATATTATATTATTATTGAAACACACATAAAGATTTTCCCGTTTATTATAAAATTGAAATGCACATAAAAAATACCCCGATCTATTATAAAATTAATATGTACATAAAAAATACCCCAATCAATAGATTGTATTATAATATCAAAATAATATTATTTCAATTAGTTGTGTTAATTTGATATACAATTATATTTACTAAATATAGTTTTAACAAAACAAATAATTTATATGTCAGCATATAAAATACTGCACTATATATATCAGAACGCAACACTTTATAAAACAACACATTGCACTTTATAAACGATAAGTTGCACTTTATCAGCATAATATCACCATACTCCACAGTTAACCTCAACAACTCCGGCCAAAATACCACACAACATAAATCTGAAAAACGGATATACGTAATAACATTAATCACATCAGTTATCCACACAAAATATAATCATGGTAACATACCAAAATTATTGTAGTGCACTTTATACATCAACACGTTGCACTTTATAACGCAATGCGTTGCACCTTATAATACAACACGTTGCACTTTATAGAACAACACGCTACACATTGTCACGACTACCATATTGTACAAAAGTGATCGAAACCGACCGCACACAATTTTTTCAACCATGGACAATATAAAAATAATAAACAAAAATATTAACATATTAAATATATTTATCATATGAAATAGCGAAAAACTTACTGATATAAAACTTTCATTCGATTTTTTTTTTTTATATATTTATGTTCGATTATCTGTTTTTCATTTTAAAATTTCGATTTGGTTGGATATCGTCTTTATTTTACAAAAATTACTTAAATAATCGAACCGACAAAATTATATAATTTATATATATAAGTGCATCCGACTATAATATAAAATATTAAGTAAATATATTAAAATTACTAATTATATCTTTATAATATAAATAATAAACTATTACGATTATAAATACCACACATCATAAATCTAAAATTGTATCTACGTACTAAGTTAACATCCATCACATTATCCGTATACGGAAAACACAAGTATGCTAACGTACCAAATTGCAACAGTGCACTTTATATATCAACACGTTGCACTTTATAAATAATGACGTTGCACTTTATAAATCAACGCATTGCAATAATCACCACATTCCACAATTAATGTCGATAACTTCCAATAAAATACCGCACAACATACATCTAAAAAAAAGATCGACATAATATTTTAATATATTTTGTTAGCACATATATTTTATGTCTTTTTTAACAAAAAAAAAAATCTATATGTGTATGTATATATATAGATATAATGCTAAAATGCTAAACATATTTTTATAATATAAATAAAAAATCATTGTGATTATTTATGGTATTTTGATTAACTGATAGGATAAATCGATTATGTCGGTCCATTTTTTGTTTGGTTCAATGCGAATTGTCTGTAAATACTCCATTTTTGATTCCATCCATAAATCGATTTTCTTCCCTATGAGTTCTAGTCTCAATAAGAATGCTACTTCTCAAGTTGCGTGATAGTAGGATTCCCCACAATGAGAAGTCTCCAAGCTTGGGAGACCCAACATACGGGGGAAAATCCGTGGGAGGAAGCGTCTTAGTTCGTAGCTGCCGAAGTCTAGCAGCCTACCTTTCCTAGGATTAATAGGTGAGGAGAAGGGCGTACCTTCCAGGAACTAGCTTCCGACCAAGGAATCCGAACAAATAAAAATAGAGATGCACATTGATGACTATCAATTGCATAATAGCTACTGACACCGAATAAATTAATTTTGTTACTTAAAATTTTATATTTTAGTTCGATTAGTTATATTTTTTTTTAAAATTGCAATTATTTTAGTTCGGCGTCGGCTTTATTTTTTTAAGATATCCAAAAAAGCTGAAATGGCCGTATTATATGAAATATATTATTATTATTTTATATATTTTCAAGTGTTTTGAGTGCACATTAAGGTTATACGCATTGCACAGTACTGATGATTGGATTGCACAATATCGAATATTTTCCACCAAACTAATAATTTTAGTGTATATTAATATATACTCATATATATATAATAGTATACATACTACATACTCACTTTCAATATATATATATATATATGATACATACTCCCAGCAATTATATGTATATTAATATATACTCATATATATATAATAGTATACATACTACATACTCACTTTCAATATATATATATATATATGATACATACTCCCAGCAATTATATGTATATTAATATATACTCATATATATATAATAGTATACATACTACATACTCACTTTCAATATATATATATATATTTTAATTGTTTTAACTTTTCTTGTGGGACCTCTACAACATGCCAATTGAGTATATATCAATTTCTTATCTCAGTCAAATCCGAAACTTATTACAACATACTCGCTTTCAGTTTCTTATTTCAGTATATATCAACTTTTCTTGTTTTAACTTCCCACTCCCAGCCAAATCCGGAACTCATCTCATATTCTGTCTCTGTAGTCTGTTCACATTTCTCTTCTTTATTTTCTCTCGCACTCAAACTACACGATTTGGGTGCAATTACAGGAAACAAAATAAAAGAAATCTTTCAATAATCAAAGTGATTTTAACTTATACTTTCTCAGTTGGCTATCAATTTTTTTTTTCAAAAGGTATACTTTATTTAATTGTTTCCTAATTTTTATAACCCTCAATTTTTATTTGGGAATTTTTAAAATATATGTAATTTTTACTTTAGAACTTTCATGATTTTGATAAAATAGCATCTTAAATGTTATTTATTAATTGTTGTGCATTTATTTATGTATTATTTGTTTCAGGTATCTTTATAATTGTAATAATATTTTAAAATTTGCTTTTAATTTATTCTTGTCACTCATTTCTAAGTTCTAACCTCATATTATTATTATTTGTTATATTAGTTACGAAGAAATATTATAAATGAAAATGTACGAGTGTTGCCGATGAAAGAAATGTCCAAGGAAAAGGCCAAGCTCATTCTGACGGTGGAGGAGAGTTATATTGTGTTGCGCCCCCTTATTTTTAAATGTTTGCGTCCGCCCCTGAACAAAAATACATCTACATAATAACTACAATAGTATATATTTATTCATTTAGTTATTATTATTATTGACAATTGGTTACAAATTATGCGTATGGAATATAATGGCCACAAGGCCCACAACCTAAACAACATTTAATTTCGTATTAAATTACTGGTTATGACTTTTTTTTTTTCGAAACGATAGAGATATTATATATAAAAGAGCACAAATGTGCGAAAGTACAACCACTAGCTGAATACATACAGCCAACGGCTGAATACAACCAGCCAACAGCTGAAAAACTGGGAGGACAGCCTAAAGACTGCCTAGAACCGACCCCAACAGGGAAACCTAAAAACTCAAACACCACAACAACACTGAAAAACTAAATAAAACTATAAACGGCCCCAACAGGGTAATGCTCGAGTGTACGGTCCCAACAGGATAATAAAGTCACACTCGGGCTAACTAAGGCCAACGACCCAAACCTAAAACACAGACAACACGAACAAGAACAAACAAACGAAACATACGAATAACAAAAACTACAAAAAACACACGACAAAGCCAAACAAAAACTAAAAGCGAGGCCCTCCCTCGACAGCACGTCCAAATTGACCAGCAGACATAGGCCAACTCCACGGAGAGAACCGAAGCACAGGAACCACGCCCGCCACTGCCTAATGCCTAGCAAAGACGAGGGCCTGAACCTCGAACCAATCCGAAAGAATCGACCCGCTCTACGACTGTATGAAGCCACAATCGCCCTCCAACCGGCTAACACCACTAGCCCAGTCCGACACCATCTCGAAGTCGACTAACACCACTAGCCAAAATCGAGAACGGCTGGCCTCCCTCGGTCTCCAAATCCGAGAACAAGGAAGGAAGAGGATCGAATGGATACAAAGCCCCAACGAACCTACATAGCCCAGACGAGCGAGATGCTCTCCACCCAGCCCTATAGACGACACCCTGACCCCCTCTCCCCAGCTACACTGAGATGCCGGCGACCAGAACACACACACCGACCCCGACTGGAGGAAAAGATTGAGTACAGACTCAGGACCCGGTCGGAAAAACCGCCTCAATCCGGAGAGAACATAGGCCGTCCGAGCCACCACTATCTCCAGACCCAGAACTCCTCCTTCCAAACTACTTTGGGACGCCGACGGACCTAGTCCAAATTCAACCCCTTTCACGGCCCGATTCGAAGAGGCCGTCTGAACCCCTAAGCAATCGACGGAAGAAATAGAGCCCCTCGACTGGAACATGGTAGAGCAGCGAAGAGCCGTCCGCCGCCAATCCGGGCGGCGGCAGAAGGAGGCTATGAGCGGCGGAGATTGACGGGAAGTAGGGTTCGGCGAATTGGGGATTTTTTGAGCGACAAGAGAGAGAAGTTAGTTTCCTCTGGAGATGAAGTTTAGAATTGTCGATTTTGGTTATGACTTTTCAAGAAAAAAATTCTAGTTTTTTTTTTTATTAAATGTGCCAGTATTTATGCAGCATACATTGAATAGTGGGTGGGCTACATTGAAGAATTTTTTATTTATTTAAAAATAAAAAAAATAAGTGGACAAAAAAAAAAGGGTGGAAAAAAATAAAAAGAATGTATTCTTCAAATCCGTTTACAATAAGAAACGGATTTGAGGAATACGTTTTCCATTATAAAACGTATTCTAACAATACGGTTTACTAAATAATAATTAATTAACATAATTAATGTAATTAAGTTAATTAAATTAAGTAAAAACGTATAGAAGAAATACGTTTTTAAGTAAAAACGTATTATTGCAATACGTTTTATAATTGAAACTAATTTCACGATTTTTTTTAATAATAAAACGTATTCGTAAAATACATTTTTTTAAATAAAATTAATATTAAAATCATTAAAATAAATTTTCTGTGGAAAATAAATTTTGGAAATATAAAACGTATTTTATAAATACGTTTTTGCAAATATAAAACATATTTACAAAATACGTTTTTTGTGTAAAATCAATTTTCCCCCAAAGATTGATTTTGCCCTAATTCTACCTAGAATACGTTTTTCACTGCAGAAAAATGCAAAATATTTTTTTGGATCCATTTCACAACCTGTTCAACAAATCAGAACCTGTTCAACCAACTAATATGAATCAATTCTCCCAAAATAATCCAACATACACTATATACCAGAAGTCAACCACAATAATTTATTCAAAACACAAATATCAGTATACAAAATGAAAAAAAAAACAAATATCTTCACAAAATTCTCTAAATACAACACAAAGTAATTAGGAGTGTATCGACTCGTAGGATTGCGCTATCGGTGGCTGATCTGACGTTGTGGTTGTCGTGAAGAAGACGATGCTGTGGGCGTGACAGGTTTTTCTTCTTCTTGTTCTCTTCACTTGAGTAAATCATTTTTTTAAAAATCAATAAATAAATAAATACAATAAATAAAATTATTTTTGTGTTAAGTTAAAAATTTTCACCTTCTTCTTCTTCTTCTTCTTTTTCTTCTTGAGGCACGGTGTCGGCAGCGGGTTGCTGGTCGCGTCGTCTTCTATCTCCACCAATGTTGGGAGCAGGTCGATGCCTCGCTCGGTGTGGCTGCGTCCTCTGGGATCGGACGTAGCTCTCCTGCGAGAGAACTTGGCTCGACGACGTTCCTTGTGCGACGTCTCTGCCTCTGACAGCCAGAGAACTGTATAGAAGGCTCTTGGCCTGTTGGAATGGCGCCAACACATCTGGATGGAGTGTATGAATAGTAATAATAATAATAATAATAATAATAATAATAATAATAATAATTAAAACACAAATATATATATTACTTACATCGCACTGCCCCTGCTCGGCAAGTGGGTGAAAGCCTCTGTCCGGTTGGGCCACCGCGTACTTGGCAGGGTCACCGAGTAGTCACACAATGATACTGTGAAACCAATCAAAGTAACCCGCCTCAGGCTCAATGAATGGCTCCACTGCGAGGGCTGGGACAACATTTTCGTCTCTATGTTCGACCCAAGCATTCCCAAGCTCTCCGTGAAAGGCAACCCAATAAAAAACTGGCCTCCCAGTCATCCCCTGGCCTCGATGGTGTAACTGATATTCGGTCTCAGTCGTAATGATAGGAGACTCCGGGGTAGACTGCCGGCACCCGAGCTGACGGAGGACCCTATCAGGCAGGTGGAGTTCACGGACGTTCCAGTTGAAGATTGTAACGCCTCGTTTTATTTTAAGGAATTTACCGAATTTATTTAATAAAAAGCAGAGTATTTTTTTTTTTAAATCCAAGTTAAAACATTTATCGAGAAACGGGCGCTACTTACTATCCACAACAAACAAATAATAACACCAAATCAATCAATCGATAGAACCTACACATGCTCGAGCTATCAGAATAACAATCTTAATAATCATAAATTTCAAAACCATTCCCAAACGACTAGCATGAAAGCAAGGTTCAAACGAAATTCAACATAGTTCGAAAACGACGAAACAAATAATCCAAAGTGCGATAGCAAATAGATAAATATCAAGTTTATGCGGAAGCATAGGTTTTCAACACATAATGACCTCCATCTCGCTCGTCCTACGCCACCGCCTCCAGCTCGTCTCAACCTAGATCAAAGGAAGAGAGAAGACAACAAGAAAATAATGGGGGTGAGCAACCAACAACCTCACCATTATCGCACAGTTTATCTCGCATAACATTTTAAACCATCATAACCATAGTATTCAGTATGCATAGAATCCAACAGTCTAACTCCCTACTTGGCCCTATCGCAAACCTCCTATGTACATACAACGACCTTCCGATCACACACGGCAAGGAAGTAACTGGAAACCTTCCCATCACCGAATGGCTACGGGCCTGGGATCCTTTCCAGGAGACGGTAGAGATGTTTTTTCCATTCACGAATATCATGCGGACCTGGGCGTCACCTCTCCGAATCTACGGGCCGATGACCTCTCACTGTTCATGCATTCCTCAAAGGCACTAACATACGGGACACTTAGACTAGGGTTCTCACGCATACATCATTTTTCAAAAGAAGCATTTATACGATATATTAAGTGCGATAAATATGGAATACATCATAAATGTACCCACCTGATAGAAGCAACAGTTCACAGTCACAAATCTCGAAATGAGGCGAGGTCAACACCTCTAGACACCTACATTAAGTCAAGATCCTACAATCAATATCTATCTTGACTTAAATCGGAAATCACAAAACAGACCTAGTCGAACTCGTTTCGACTAAGTAGTTCGTGAAGTCCTGTGGATGTTGGAATACTAAGACTCGACACTAAACTCGACCAAACCACATAAGGGAGTTCACACAATTCTATCCAAGGATTGACCAAATCAAACTCACATCAACACGAAAAACAAGTCGGTTCCCAACTTTCATTTCAAAATCATGTTTCGAAAATAGCAATCATTAATCACATGAAAATAGATGGTCAGGCTACCCTATGACTTAAGCTCTGAAATTTTACATAAAATTACATCTCCCAAAAACATGTAAAACCACAAATTTTCAGCTTCAAACTCGAAATACACTATTTTATAAAATTCGAACAAGATATCAACAAAATGGGAACATCAATTCATACTTGAACTTAATGAACGAATCAGAACTTGTAAATTTAACACAACAACATAAAGCATGCTAAAGTCCATATATAAAAATCTCAGCCCTGAACATTGACTGCTACTATTTTTAAAAATTCATACGAGATTCAGCAGTTTATCACATTTAAACAAAAACCGAATCAAAATGGACTCCAAAAATTCCCATCTTTTAATACATTCAACACATAAAATAGGAATCTCAGTAAAATTTCAGAATTTTTCACGAAATAATCAATTTATAAAAATTCTAACAACGCTCAGCAAATTCGATAAATAAATTATTAACCACATCAAATCAAGTCCAAAAATTCTGAAAATTTAACACAACATATTAAAGTCACAGAGGGCATGACATCTTTGAATTTGCTCATTTGGTTCACGAAAATAGCTACAGGTCATATAAATTATTAACCACATTAAATCAATTAACACTATTTTGATCAGATTTCACTATAATTATTAAAAATAGCTACAGGTTTCCAAAAATCACAAAAATTTTACATAAGGCTGGTAATGAACAGACAACAGCACCCTCAAATTTTCAAATTGTTTCAAGCAGCGAGCTATTTTAAAAATTCAAACACCAAAACAACGATATATATGCTCGACAACTTATCAATTAATTCATAACATGAAATTTCTCATCCGAGGCCTTTGGGCTCGACATCGTTCCAATATCCACCGACTTACACGACTTTCGAGGTCTTGTTCGATTCTTTAGAAAATCGAAGAGATCCCGAACATACGATAACACATAAAATCACGACGATACAATCACGAGCAACCATAATCATATAACATCATAACACATATATTAATTTAACGAACACACTAGGCACAACCGATCATAATATTATTCACGTAATAATAAACGAAGAGTTGAGAATCGATACCGTTCTCGGAAAAACGAGCGAGACGGGATCGAACAAGGCTCGACGGCAAAACCCAACAACAAGCTGCGACAAGCTCGACGGCTCATGCTCAGCTCGCGGAGGAGCTGTGACGGTGATGGCGGCTCGAGGAGGCGCTGAACCGAGCCTGCGTGGAGGAGCAGCGGCGCACAGGGACGGTGACTCGCCGGAGTTGCTGTGCGATGGAGGATGAACTCGACTCGACGGAGCTCGTTGGTCGCTGCGGCGGTTCACGGCTGAGGAGTTGGCGGCTGGTTTTCGTCAGAAACGGCTCACGGGCTGCTCGAAGGACGATCAAAAGTCGCCGGAACTCGCTGCAAGGGGTCGCCGGAAATCGCTGCGCGAGTTGCCGTGCGCCGGAGGAGATGAGTTGCAGGTGGCGCTCGACGGAGGAGGAAGACGGCGTCGTTTGGCTGCTATGGAGGTGCAGTGATCCACCAGTGAGAGGGAGTTGCAGGCAGAGAAGGGCGCTGCTCGCGGACAGATTTTCTGTGATGGCGGCAACGGGCTGAGCACGGAGAGGATGATGATGGACTGAGGATGAGGGTGATNGAAGCCAAAAAAAAAAAAAAATAAAGAGAAGGGAGATGAAGAGGGTTGATGACGACGAGGAATCACGATGATGAAGGGAAAACTGATTTCTCACGTGAGTTTTTGATGGCTGCGGAAAGGGTTTGGGAATAGAAAAACCGAGCAAGGAAATATATATACATATGCTATTAGGTTTTAAAGTCTTGTTGTCCAAGACAAATACAATCTCCCAAACACACACGTGAAAACCAAGGGAACAAGGGAAAAAATATCAGCTAGGCCGGTTTTGGATTAGGCCAAATGGGTTTTGGGCCGGTTTGCGACATCAAATCGGCTCACGGGCTCGATTTCGGTTCAAACGAAAATTTCTC